GAAAATTATGGACTCTCTTAAAAAATCTAGCAAAAGTGGAAAGAGCTTAAGGCATGCAAATCAAAAATGCATTGTGGAGGAAAAAAGGTCATCTAGTAGAAGAAGTCTCCACCACTTATAACTCAAGAAGCAAGCTAATGGAACCTTCTTCAANCTCAGGCTAGAAGCCTTGCCAAAAGCACCAAAACCTGCATGAGAGGCGCCTGAACCAACACCTAAAGCAGTGCTTTAAGGCGCTTGCGCGGGTTGCTGTGGCGCGCGCGTGGCAGCGGCTGACCGGGGATTTTCTCCTCCTCCTCCTCCTTCAACTCTTGCAACTCCAAAGGCCCCAAGACTACCTCTCTCAGCCCCAATCTCACCACTCCTCATGGCACCAATGGAGTTTTTCTATCCCACCTCCTTCAAATCTCTAATACCCACTTCAAAAATTCTACCCAAGAAATACCAACAAAATAATCTTGAAAGACTTCAAGTCTTGTCTCCCTTCTCTCAAATCTCAATAGAATGGAAAAAACCAAGCTCACAAGAATGGGCTCTCAAGTTTTTCAAGAGATGGGTATTCAATCTTAAAGTGAATGAAATGGGTAGGAGAAGGTCACATTTATAACCTAGGGTTTTTAAAAGAGAGAAAAGCCCCAAATTGAAAATTATGGACTCTCTTAAAAAATCTAGCAAAAGTGGAAAGAGCTTAAGGCATGCAAATCAAAAATGCATTGTGGAGGAAAAAAGGTCATCTAGCAGAAGAAGTCTCCACCACTTATAACTCAAGAAGCAAGCTAATGGAACCTTCTTCAACTTTCCTTGGACACGGGGCATTGTGGGGCAAATGATGGATCAAGCCCAAAATGGCCCAATTTATTTGAAAAACTCAAACCTCAATTGAAGAGCTCAATCTTATAAAGACTCACTAAGCTCAATACTGTTCAAGTCCAGTCTCATCAGTTCGGCTACGTCATCAAGAGGAAGAGTATGGGGGCCTTACCTGCACTGCAAAAGGAAACGGTCCACCCTCGCCTTATCTTTGAGCGCATCTCATGGGGAGCTCCTCAACCACCTCACCCATTGAGAGGAAGTCGTGAGTTCCATCGAAATATTTGCCTAGTTGTTGAGAAGTAGCCCCAACCTGTTAAGGGGGCTACTACATGTGCCACCAACACTTGGGGGCATCACATATCACCTGAGCACTACTCTCTCCTCTCCCTCAAAGTTTGTACTCTCTGCTTTCCACACCCTTAAGTTAAAAAAATACCCGACAACCAGAGCCATTGAAGAGTGGACATAGGTCGAGTTGACCGAACTACTATAAATTATTTGTGTCTCTTCATCTCCTGATATTAATTTTTTTGCATTTATTATTCACACTTGACAAGTGGTGTGTAAAATTATTTTGTGCATCATCAAGTCCTAAAATTGATATTTCGATATGGTAGCTTTACTCTAAAGTGTAAGCCACTTGCCATTTTTTTTTTCATTTGTTCTTTGTCATTTATATGTTTTTTTTTAATGATTAATCCTAAAATATTGCTGCCTTATATCATTCAACCCACAACTGAACTCTAATTGTGCGAGGTGTGGATCTTGGAATGAGATCTAGGCCAAAAATAATTATATAGAGGTGTAAATCTTGAAATAAGAAATAATCATATAGAGATATGAATCTTGGAGTGAGATCTGGGTCAAAAATAATTACACAGAGATGTAGATTTCGGAGTGAGATCTGGGTAACAATTATTTATATAAAATTTTAGGTCTCGAAGTGAAAAATAATTATATAGAAGTATAGATCTTGGAGTAAAATCTGGGTCAAAAGTATACTAGTAGGTGAACAAGTGTATTGCACATGGGCCATTTTGAGCTACAACTTTAGTTTATATTTTTCACTTTAATTATTTTGTAGTTTATTAGTTGAAAATCAAAATATTTGAGTTGTGCATGTAGATGTATTTTTTTAGTAAACAAAAGCAATGAATGAAAAATAAAGCATATATTTCAACTCTTTTAATTTACAACTGACTTACTCCAAGAAATATCTAACTTTTCACCTAATTAAATTCAGAGCGAGATCTTGGTTAAAAATAATTATATAGAGGTGTAGATCTCGGAGTAAGATTTGTATCATAAATAATTATATAGAAGTGTAAATCTCAAAGTGAGAAATAATTATATAGAAGTATAGATCTCGGAGTGAGATATGAGTCTAAAATAATCATATAGAGGTGTAAAACACGGTGTGAGATTTGAGTCATAAGTATACTAGTAACTGAATATGTGCATCGCACATGGGCTATTTTAAACTATAGCTTGGGTTTGCATTTTTCAATTTAATTATTTTGTGTGTTTATTAGTTGAAGATCAAAAGAATTTGATTTTGTGTATGTAGATGTATTTTTTAGTAAACAAAAAAAATGAATGAAAAATAAAGCGTTCATTTGAACTATCTTAATTTACAACTAAATTACTCCAAAAAATATCTAACTTTTCACCTAATTAAATTCGGAGTGAGATCTTGGTCAAAAATATTTATGTAGGGGTGAAGATCTCGAAGTGCGAATTGGGTCAAAAATAATTATATTGAGGTGCAAATCTCGAAATGAGAAATAATTATGTGGAGTATTACTAGTAGGTGGACAACTGGACATGCACATTGGACATTTTAAGCTACAGCTTCGGTTTGCATTTTTTCCTTTAATTATTTTGTGTATTTATTAGTCGAATATCTAAATATTTGAGTTTGTGTATGTAGAAGTATTTTTTAGTAAACAAAAAAAAAAATGAATGAAAAATAAAGCGTGTATTTGAACTCTTCTAATTTACAAGTGACTTGGTCCTAGAAATATATAGCTTTTCAGCTAATTAAATTCGGAAAAAGATTTGATTTATAAATAATAATTATATGGAGGCGTAAATCTCGAAGTGACAAATAATTATATATTTCAGAATAAAATCTAATCAAAAATAATAATTATATAAAAATAAAGATCTCATATAGCGATATGGATCTGAAGGTAGTAGATGGACATGTGCATTGTACATACGTTTTCAAACGGCTGATTTGACGCCACCCGACACAGAATGCAAAACCCCACAACCGACCCACCTTTCAATTATCATGTTGCACTGCTTTTGTGCTCTCTTTTTCGGGACCTTCTCATTGGTCTTCCCAATGGCCTCGGCCTTCTTCTCAGCAATAATGGCCATGAATTAGAGCATTAGGTAAAAAAAAAAAAACAAATCGAGCACTGGACAAACTCTATTTGCTCGTTTAACACCTTTGAATGGGTCTAAAAGCGCAACGCATTGGTGATTCGATCTCAACAAAAGCTCCATGCATGAAATAGTACCCGAATTCTTCCAAATTTGTTAATGGTCGCTGGCTGGCCTGGGTTATGAGTAAATGCACGGGATAAGTTAGATAAATTTATTAATGGATCGGATTTAAATTAAATTAACATGAAAAATTAACACCTAATTTCAATTTCATGAAAAACTAACGCCCAATTTAACATCAAATCTGAAATTGAGACCAAAAATTGTGTGCTCAACTATGTGAATGTGTGTGCGCGCCGTCTTTTATATTAGAATTATATTATTTGTTGAATGAGTGATTGGCGCTGTTCCACGTAGCAGCAATACTTTTTATGTTTTGTTCTTGAAGCATGGAATCAGCTGGATTCAATTGACCCCTTTGTACAGAGGCGTGGTTCTTGGAGAGAGATGTGGGCAGTGAAAGTGATATGATGGATGGAACAGGTTGTCTTACTTAATATCGGGACTTACTAATTACTATACCTTATTAATAATTCAGCCAAATAATTTTGACGAAAGGTTTATGGGTTTTTGCTTGTTGACTACTTTTTCCTCAATAAAATATTTATAAGAAGTATTATGAATAGTAACAAAAATAATGTGATGTTTAAAGTTTAGGGGTACCAATGATCACATAAAAAATTATGGTAATAATCATTGGATTTTACTTGTCCGGGATACCATAGAAACCATGTAAATTACTTTTCATTTTTCTTAAAAGTATAATCATTGGATTTTGAAGGAATCTTTTCTTTTCTTATCTTTTTTTTATTACTAACATTATTGCTTAGAATTGCCTAAATGTGTGACGTCCATGACTCAAAGCCATCACCAAGCTTTAGTAACCCAAGTAGGATAGAACCATAATCTAATTCTTTTTTTTCCTAATTGACAAGAATTAAAATAATACATACATAAAAATCAATTTAAAAAGTTTGAAAACCAATAAATATGGTATATATATATATATATAAGCAAAAAAAAGACTAATTAGCACTGTTAGTAAAAAACAAAAAAAAGGGATAATTTTCATTTTATAATTGAAAATCTAGCAATCATTCATTGGCCACTCAACAAGTTACATAATCAATTTTTCACAATCTTCAAAATTTTAATTTATCCTCAATTATTTTCACTGTGATATTAAAATAGAAAAACCAATAAACAAAAGTGTTGGGCCTAAGCATTTTTTATTTGTTTTTTTTTTGGGATGGGGAGGAGGATTTAGACTTTTGATCTCAAGAATGTAAAACATTCACAAGGTAAGAAATATTAACTTTAAAGCCAATAAGCAACACTTCAAAAATAAAGACGACATCTCACAAAAGATAGAATTCATATGAAAATCAATTGTAAGTACTTTTAAGTTTGAACTAGAATCAATTTAAAAAAAAAATGACATAATAAAAGAGGCTAAACAACTAAAGTAAGGAAGACATAGGGTGAGCTCAATGGGATATGTATGCATATTATCTAAAATACATGTGTACACCCCATACATATATTTTTTCAAAGAAATTGTGCGTGGGCCTTGGGGCCCCTATATAGCTCTGCTAGTGAACCCAAGTACTGGAAGCTTGTTTGCAGCAAGAAAAATGTTATTGAGATAAAACTGTTAACAGAGAAGTAAAAGGAAGATTCGACACTAACCGACATGGAATCCAAAACCCCACAACCGACCCACCTTTCAATGATCATGTTGCAGGTGCACTGCTTTTGTGCTCTCTTTTATTGGACTTCCGAATGGCCTTGGCCTTTTTCACAGCAACAATGGCCATTAGGGCATTAGGTCCTTTTATCCAAAAATAAAAATCGAGCATTGGACAAAAACTATTTGCTCATGTAACACCTTTGAATGGTTCTAAAATAATATTAGGAATTAAAAATCTAACATAATTTATTGATTTAATGATATAATTTTATTTGAATCATTGGATCAACATCAAATTTCAATATTTAATAGGGTCCACAATCAATCAAAAAGTCATAATAAATTAGGTAACTAAATTAAGTCAATAAATAAAGTTCAAATAGCATTGTTTGGTCTAAAATGGCAAACCCCTCGGTGATTCTAAACGAAAGCTCTGTGCATAATATAATATCCAAATTTGTTAATGGTCACTAGTAAGCTAGTTTATAAGTAAATGCACGGGGGTAGGTTTGCTAATAGATTGAATTTAAATTGAATTTTGATCGATCCAAATCCAAATTTCATTTCAAAACTCTTGAAAAATTTAATTCGGAAATTTGATCCAAATAACTCACAAAAGGTTAATGTTAGCAAATTAAAGTTTAATTTCTACTAAAATTTATTAAATAATTATTTAATTTTATTACATATTTATTTCAAGTATATCGGAACATGAATATTAATTCATATCCAACTATCTTGTCTTTTGGGCTAGGATTCATGGGCATTTATCAGGACGCACAATAGTTTGACCTTAATGAGCCTCCATTGAAATTTTTGTTGTATTAAATATTTCATAATATGTACATTTCAAGCTAGATTGGTATTATATATGATCAAAAATGATGAAAGGACCCTAGAATTGATTTTAGATTTTTTTGAATGCAAGGATGATGTAGCCCTTTTTATGTTAATACTGTTGGAGTTATATTCTTGTTTATTAAGGTTTTTTCAGTGTTTTTTCATTTTTTATTCTTACTATGACTTTTATGTTTTGCCTAGATTAGAGGATTGTCTAGATTTTTTTATACTATTGTTTGGCTATATATACAGAGCTCTATACTTAGTTTGTGCCCCTTTCACGCACAGATATCTCAAGTATACCGTACATTAATATCCATTTGCAAACATTATACCCATTCACTCAATCTATTTTTAATGAAAAAAATATTGTTTTTCCATTTTTTTTTGTCAATTTATTTCTCAAAAAATGGAAAGAATGAATTTTAAATAAATAATTAAATTTAAAATGTATTCTATAAACTTGTTACTCTAGGCCTCAAATTGTAACTGGCCAGATGCTACTACACAATTGTGATAATTTTTCTTTGTATTTTGACAAAATATGATATTAGAGCTCAACGCCAGAGAGAGAGAGAGAGAGAGAGAGAGAGAGAGAGAGAGATGTAAATACATACATACATATATCAAATTTTCATACAAACAGTTTTGGCATTGGTCCCATTTTAATTTTTCAGCGATCAAATTATAGACATGTTTGCTGATGAATTGGAACATTTAGGGGTTTTGAGTAGGGCTAATAATCAAGCCGAGCCTAAAATGAACTAAGCTCGGGCAGAGCCTAAAACGAACCAAACCCGAATAACTTGACTATTTTACATATAAATGAGCCGAATTTTTTAGTTTTGTTTTTTCTAAATAAGCTAAAAAATTTGTTCAATGTTGGCTCGTTTAGTACATGAGCCGAGCTCGATGAGTCCTACCTAAGCCGAACCCGAACCAAATCTGAATAGTTTGACTCAATTATTAGCCCGAGTTTTGAGTTCGATCAAGGCTAGTTGTGACTGTAGTTTGTTCTGTACTGAATTCAAGATGAACTTTAAAAGCTTCTGTATATTCCCTTTCATACTGAGGAGGAATTATTAATTTATTATACTAATTAATTTGGGATTGTTCATTCTGTCCTTTTATGTCAAGCAGTATTACATAATAGGAATCTATACAAACTACAGAAATGCTCCCACTAATCATAGTCTAGTATGCTCAACCAAAAAAAACAGATTTTAATGAATTGCATCATTCAAAACAATCTCTGCATATCGTATAATTACATTCACGACATTCCAATAAGGTGTTATATTTAGAAGGTTTACCACATCTGCAACACGCGAACTCTTTCATCTTTCGGACAAATGTGAGAGGGTGTGAGTGATGATCAACTTGTACGGTGCCCCCAAACTTGGTTTTTGACCAATTGTCATAAATGCATCTAGCATATAAAGATTGGTCGCAATGATGACAATAGTACATCCAATACTGGGGATTTATTTCTTCCTCGCAAAATTCACAATGAAATTCGTCGGGATGATCATTAGGAGGACGATAGGTCAGGATAAAGGGATGCTGATCCCACCGGTGCTTGACATTTTTTGATAACAAAGCACAATTGTAGTCCAGATTGAAATTGCAAGTATCACATCTGAATATGAACGTTGAGGACTTGTAACCACATGACTTGCAAACAGAATGTGAACCTTCCCCTAGAACTAGGGGGTGCTTGTGAGATTCATGTTTGATAGTGCTAGGTAGAAAAGCACATTTGACATCAACATAGAATTTACAAGTTTTACACCAGTAGAATAATCCATTGCTATTCATGTTGCAACAGTCACATGTGATGAGCGAATAGATGCTAGTGAATCTCCCAAGCTTAAGCAAGTGTTCAGGGTGACTTGGGTGTTGAACCTCATCTGGTAAGTGGGCACAGCCTAAGTGCATAAAGTAATTGCATTGACGACAGCCGTAAAATGGAAGGGAGATAGGTTGCACACAAGCATTACATAAGATTTTATCATCCTTCACCTCATTGATATTTTGCACATCGAAAAGAAGTAACGGATGCTGATGGCTCCAATCATTAATCTTTGTTTCTTTCTCAAACTTGTTAACGTTTATATCTTTAACAAAATGTCTAACCAAATCTACAAATTCATCATTCACCGGTAAACTTACTAGATTAGACTCAAGAAGTTCGTCATCTTTATTACTGCTATTTATTTCAGCATCTCTGAAATCACAAAATTAGGAGAAAAAGTTTTAGTTGACAAGAATTAAAAGCACCGCAAGGATTTTGTTAAGGGGGAGGGAGAGGCAGAGAGAAGGGAGGGGAGAGAACACAAACAAGACAAAATGATTAAACTCACCTCGACGACCTTGCCTTTGATGTTGTGCACTTTACATGGACAAAATATCTAACAGCGGCCACAACAGTAAACTGAAGAAGTTGCCCAAAGGAACTTGTCACATTTGTTGCATTGCTGTATAAAATTGGTAATATTATATAGATACTGCTTGGTTAAGGTGAGAGGATGATGGTGATCATTAATCTTGATAGTGTTAGGTAGTGAGGCACAACTTTTATGAATCCAAAATTGACAGCTGTGACATACATAAGATGTGCCTTTATCTTCGATGCTGCAAATATCACAAAAGAACAAGGATGGTCTAAGTAGGACGGATAATGGGTGTTGGTGAATTTCAAGTTTAATCATGCGCTCCTCCAACCAACACGGCATGCAGATGCCAAAGTCACACTGGTAACAACAGTAAATGAACCGATCCCAACCTTGTTTACATGCATCACAAATGTATGAACTTGAACCTGCATCAAGGGTTAAAAGGTGTTCGGGGTGTATGGGATCTTTAATCTCCCGGTTAAGTTCTGCACAGCTCTTATGTAGGAAGTAATCACACTCTCTACAACAATACGCATGGTCTAAGATTGGTTTTTTACACCCATAGCACAAAACATCCGTACCTTCGTTCTTTTGCACATCCTTGAAATTCAGTGGATGGTCATGGCTGAAATGTAAAATCTCCATCTTCTTGTGTGTGTCTATGAGAGAGAGAGAGAGAGAGAGAGAGAGAGATGGTATGGTATGGCTTTGAAAGTTGCAGCAAGAAGATATTAATAAACGAAGGATCCTTTTTACTTCTTTATTTGCCTGGATTTCCCATCAGCCCATCCAATCTAAAAAGATTTCTTGTGCCCTTGTTTATACATACGCTAAAATAAACTAATGACATACAATAGTTGATCATTATTAAACTCACCTCAAAACTTCATCTCTGCTTATTGTGTTCTAATATCTACATGGGCACAACAATACTATAAGAATATGTTCACTGCATATGTTGCAATATTGTATAAAATTGGTTAAATTATACAAATACTACCTAATAAAGGTGAGAGGATAATGGTGGTTGCTAATCTTGTTGGTGTTAGGTACTAAAGTATAATTAATTGTGAGTTTCAGGATTAAATAAAATTCTATTTTCAACCAAACAAGTACACCTATATTCCTTTGCCTCTGTTGCCGTGTAGCAAAAAAGACTTTGGATACAAACTTGTTTCCCAATCAATTAATGTATTTTTATTCACTGATTTGCTATAGATATATTTCTTTCTTTCTTTCTTTCTTTGGCAAGTTCAGGAATGTTGTTCAACACGGAAATTACCTAAATGAACAAAGGAGGAACCTCCCGAGAAAACATACTGTGGACACGAAACTAAGTCATCTAGAAGCTCCACCATGCCTTTGGCTTTAGTTTCTCAAAATGCAGAGATTCTCCCAACTTTCTCCACCATATGAATTGCTTTTACCTAAATGAACAAAGGAGGAACCTCTCGAGAAAGCTTACCGTGGGCATGAAGCTATGTCATCTAGAAGCTCCACCATGCCTTTGGCCTAAGTTTCTCAATTCCCAAGATTCTCCCAACTTTCTGCACCATGTGAATTCCTTTTACCTAAATGAACAAAGGAGGAACCTCTCGAGAAAGCCTACCGTGGGCATGAAGCTAAGTCATCTAGAAGCTCCACCATGCCTTTGGCTTAAGTTTCTTAAATGCCAAGATTCTCCCAACTTTCTCCACCATGTGAATTGCTTTTACCTAAATGAACAAAGGAGGAACCTCTCGAGAAAGCTTACCGTGGGCATGAAGCTATGTCATCTAGAAGCTCCACCATGCCTTTGGCCTAAGTTTCTCAATTCCCAAGATTCTCCCAACTTTCTGCACCATGTGAATTCCTTTTACCTAAATGAACAAAGGAGGAACCTCTCGAGAAAGCCTACCGTGGGCATGAAGCTAAGTCATCTAGAAGCTCCACCATGCCTTTGGCTTAAGTTTCTTAAATGCCAAGATTCTCCCAATTTTCTTCACCATGTGAATTGCTTTTACCTAAATGAACAAAGGAGGAACCTCTCAAGAAAGCCTACCTTGGGCACGAAGCAAAGGAGGAACCTCTCAAGAAAGCCTACTCTGGGCATGAAGCTAAGTCATCTAGAAGCTCCACCATGCCTTTGGCCTAAGTTTCTTAATTGCCAAGATTCCCCCAATATTTTCTTGATTGAGTAATTAATAACACGCACCCCTAGAAGTAAGAACCTCTCTTCAATAGTGGATTACTCTTTCTCTTCAATAAGACGAGTAACTTTTATCTTCGTGTTTTTATTTTCCTGCTCTCAATTCATTACTCACAACAACTCATTCTTACGTGTTTTTCGGTCTTTTACACCATCAGGTTTCACAATTTTGTTTAGAATTACCTAAATGTGTAACCTCCATGACTCAAAGCCATCACCAAACTTTAGTAACCGAAGTAGGGTAGAACCATAATCTAATTCTTTTTTCTCCTAATTTTTTTTTGAAGAATTCTTTTTTCTCCTAATTGACAATAAGTAAAATAATACATATATAAAAATCTATTTAAAAAGTTTGAAAACCAATAAATATAGTATATATATAAGCAAAAAAGAAAAGGACTAATTAATACTATTTGTAAAAAAATAGGGCTAGTTTTCATTTTATAATTAAAAAGCTATCAATCATTCATTGATCACTCCACAAGTTACATAATCAAATTTTCACAATCTTCAATTTTTTAATCTATCCTCAAATATTTTCACTAAGATATTAAAATAGAAAAACCAACAAACAAAAATGTTAGGCCTAAGCATAGTACTAACTTTAAAGTCATCAAGCAACACTCGAAAAAATAGAGACGACATCTCACAGAAGATAGAATTCATATGTAAGCCAATTGTAAGTACGTTTACGTTTGAATTAAAATCAATTTAAAAAAAAATCTCACATAATAAAAGAGACTAAACGCTGAGCCCACCTTATCCATGTTATACCCATGTTTGAATATATATTTTGGGCTCGGAATTATCACCTAAAAGTAATATCGGTTCGGATGAATAGTGTATTTAATACTACATACAACCTCTTAAATAAGCCCAACTTTTTGGTGGGTTTAAATAGTCTAATTGGAATGTATTTGGTCAAAAGACATTGTTACCCTCAAGTATTTCTAAGATATAAATATCACTCTTTATCTTGAGAGTTTTTTAGTAATTTAATGTTTATACCATCATTCACTATTCCATCCANAGGATATAAATATCACTATTTATCTTGAGAGTTTTTTAGTAATTTAATGTTTATACCATCATTCACTATTCCATCCAAATAAAGTATTGGATAGAATAAATATGGGGTCTATTATTTCTTAATATACTTAAACCAAACATGGGTTGAGGAGAGATTATCACTATAATTAATCCAGGGCCGGATGAATAGATAATGAATGAACAATATTATATAATCCGGTCATTCCTAATATTTAAACCAAACACAAGGTGAGTGGGCTTTGGGGCCCCTAGCTCTACTAGTGAACCCATGTACTGGAAACTTGTTTGCAACAAGGAAAATGTTTTTGAGATATAATTTTAATAATTATAATNAATATGTATGTATAATATCTAAAATACATGTACACCCATACATATAATTTTTCAAAGAATTTGTGAGTGGGCTTTGGGGCCCCTAGCTCTACTAGTGAACCCATGTACTGGAAACTTGTTTGCAACAAGGAAAATGTTTTTGAGATATAATTTTAATAATTATAATTATTAAAATTAAAAGTTGGCTTAAACTTAATATTAAAACTCATAATTAATTTAATAAATATAATAGATTAAAATTTTAATTAGTTCTTATGTAGCCAGAATCTTGAATGAGCCACATTTTACATCTATATAATTAAATATAACTAAATTTAAATCTAAAAGTTAAAAACGATTGAGATCGTTTCATGATTAAATAAGGCATCATCCGACGGACGTTATCCTAATCTGTTTCAGGTTATTAAAGTCTCAAATCATCTCACAATTTTCAATCTGACATACCATATTGATTCCCAAAATTTTTATACCATTTGAAAATTTTAATTTTTGAACCTTTCCCCACGCACCCTAAATCTACACCTAAACACCAAAATTCGGTCCTCCTCTCTCTCTCTCTCTCTCTCATAATTCTATGTTCATCTGTCTTCTCTCTTTTTTTGCAGGTAAACTAGTGAAATTAATGATGTTGAATGACAAGCTACATAAAGGGAGGATACTGATTTTGGAATATTTGTTCATTAGTTAGTTGAAAGAATTATTATTTTGATTTTTGGATGTAAACCAAAGGATTTGTTTATGTTTTTTTTTATTTGGGATTTATCTAGCTAGTTATTGGGTGTTGAATGTTTTTTATTTATTTAATAGTACGATAGTATGCTCTTATGGTTAGATGATTCATAGTTAGATAATACCTCTAAATGTGAAATTAGGGGGTTAAAGGCCGTGGTCATGGAGTCAAAGTATACTCAAATTTAAGTTTGGATAAAAATAATCTTAAAAACCTTCTCCAATGTTATACCCAAACTTATACTAAATTTTGGCAGATTCAAACTTTTATTCAAATCACTAATGGTTAAATTTTATTATATTTTAAAGATCCAATAGTCATACTTTATTTTCCTTTAAATTTGGGTTTATCCGCCTTTAACTTTAAGTTTCTCCATTGAAGTATTTTGTATTAAATCAAACTTTGTACCTATTTTTTTACTCAAATTTGGGTAAGGATTTCGGTAAGCATCGGAGATGGTTTAACTATTAAGGTGTTACATCATTTTCTCTCTCTTTTTTTTTAATTTTTTTGGATAAAAGTTTTAGTTTTTTTTTTTTCCTGAAATAACATTTATCTATAATGTAATTGTGCTAATCCCATTACAACTTTAGACTAATATTATGGCTCAAAAAAATTTAAAAAAACCATTTAATTTTAATAAATAAGATATCCAACAATACTTAATTGGGTATTTAGAAATTTTCATCTACAAAGTTAATCATATTCATGAAAAAAATATTCGATGTTCACCGGACACCACTAAAGAGAATGCAAGCCTCGGGCTGGGGGCATGGATCAGACACTTTTAACGCTACTTTTTATATTTTATTATTTTCTATGTCACTTGATTTTTTTTTTAATAATTTTTTGATAAATATTTATTAAAACATTGTAGCTTGAATCATTGAATCAGCTGAATCTAGTCAAGTGCTATCATTCATGTAAGAATGAATCTCATTTGTAATATTGAAGTTTATAATCAATATTGCAGCAATAATGCTATGTTAATTAATAATTTTAGTAAAAAAAATAATAATAAATAAAAATAAATAAATAATTTTAGTTAAAATATTAATCTTTTATTTTTGTAAGGTACAAAAATAAAATGATAAATAACATAATTTTTTTTTTTTGTTCAACGGTCAAAAATATGCAAGCGAATTTACACACACCTCGACGAAATCACTAATTCGCGAAGTGTCTACCAACTTTGTGTGAAGACAGGAACATTGCTAATAATTTTTTTAAAATAACAATGAGATAATGGTAAAACTTATTTCTTTCAGCCAACCTATTGAGAGGTGACGGTCATGATACATACAATACATCCTTGTACAAGAAACATCTTTAAACACTAAGGAAAAAAAACATTTATATATATATATATATATGAAGATCTTCATCATATCTTAACTTTGACAAAGCATATCATGCAAATCACATAATTACACTTTGGACATTCGAATAAGGTAACATTATCAAAAGATGTATTACTACAGAAACAGGTGAACTTCTTCTTCGCCATTCTAATATATGCAAGAGTTTGAATGATCATCAACTTGAAGGAAGCCCCCAAAATGTGGTGTTTGAATTCTATCGTGAATGTGTGTAAGATGGAAAGATTGATCGCAGAAACACAATTATACATACATCGAACACTTCAAATTTGTTTCTTTCTCGCAATATTCACAATAGAATTCTTGAGGATGATCCCTGAAAGTGGGATAGCTTAAGGTGATCCGATGCGTCCCATTTGAACCTGCACATCAAATGGGGGTGGGGGGTGCTTGTGAACTTCATGTACAATAGTGGTATGTAGGAAAACACATCTCACATCAAAGAAGGATTTATAGTTGTCACACTCTTAGAAAAATCACTTCCACTACAAATAACAGACATTCAATTCTAAGAGATTATAGACAGTATTGTAATAGAATAGAATGACCTGCTCAGGGCATCTTGGCTGTTGTAACTCACATTTTCCCTTGGTAAAATTTAAGTGAAGAAAGTAACTGCATTAAGCAAATGCGTAAAATGGAATTGAGATAGTTTGCACACACTGTAGCATGATATTTTGTCATCCTTCATATCATCGTTATTTTTTTGGTTTGAAAGGATTAGCGGATGCCCATGGCTTCAATGATTGATTTTGTTTTCTCTCAATCTCTTCAAGGCCTCTATACCCTACAAAAAAGTATAGTCAAGTAATGTGAAATTATCAATCATCGGTAAGTCATCACATTAAGATCGAGATGTTCATTATCACTGCTTATTTCCCCATCTGTAGAGCGACAAAAGGTAGAATAAGATTTAGGTAACAATATGAAAAATATGGCAAAATAATTTTAAGGAGATATATATTGTTAGAGTATATGTGGCTCATATTGCTGTGTGTATAATGGCAAGGAGGCAGATGCCGAAGCGGGTGAGTGGAGCCACGGCATTTGCCTTGCGGGATTTAAATAAAGGGACGCTGATTAGTTGGGGTGCGGGGCAACGCCCCCGCGGTACGGTACAGGAGTATTTTTGTAAATACGTCCATATTAGGGTTATATAAATACTTAAGATGTAACCCTATTTTATAATGAAAAAGAACGGCCGCTCGCTCTCGTGGATGTAGGCACATTGCCGAACCACGTAAATCTCTGTGTGTTATTTTCTCCTGCTTTCTTAATTGTTTGATTCCTTACTATTCACCATAATTGCTGCACGATCACAACATATATAAAAGAGGGGGGGACAATATGAGTAAGAAAAACTGATTAAACTCACCTTAAATGCTCCGACTCTGAAGTTACGCTGTTCTTTGCAGATTTCACATGGGCAAAATATACGCATGGCAAAATATTGAGCCCAGGAATCAACAACTTGGTCACAATTTATTTCCCAATTATGCC